CAAATTTTCGCAAAAATCGCAAATTTTCGCAAAAATCGGCAAATTTTCGCAAACATCTGTAAATTTTTGATTTTCGAATTTTCGGGATCCCGGCCCACAAGCCAATTCAAAAATCCAAAAATTTTCGAATTTTCGCGTATGCCCCCCAAACCAATTCGCGTAAATTTTCGCTCATCGTTTCGTTGTCACATGACACTGTGGAGGCGCCAAGAGGATCCAAGGGTCCAAAAGCGCCAGTTGCGAGGATCACGACCCCGACCTCCGCGATTTTGTTTTGATGCGAAATTTTTAAATTCCTTGCTTCTGGTTATTAATTTGTTAATGGCTCACCGCTCCAGGTCAGAGTCACTGCAAGCAAGCATCACGACCAGGTGGCAAGAGTTCCATTTAGAAGCGACAGAGACGTAGAAAGACATGCGTGGTTGGCAAAAACAGATGAATGTGCAGGGGCATTTTCCCATGCTTTTTTTTCAGTAAGCTTCAGGAAGCAGATTGAAATCTATTGGCAGAATCAAGTGTATGGAAATTTGCAAGGCAAATTCATCCTAGTAGCCTGAAGTGCGGCAGTACAGTAAAAGGGATGCCTGGCCAACAGCCCGGGCACTGGGCTCCGGAAAGATTTCGTGAAGAAAGTTGATTCCGCAGATTACCTGATGTACGGGCTGCGTGCCCATAACCAGTATCTGGAATCTTGGCATGAGGAGCGGCGTGCTCAGTTGGCTTCCCTGGACTCGAACACGAGGGAAAAGCTGCGGGAGCACTTGCTCTCAGAACCTTGGCTTGCAAATGTACGGTTCTAGCGGCACTGACACGGCTGCATACACAGTGGCTTGTTGTGTCCCGTAGTGCAAGGTGGCGCTGACCCAACCGGCAGGGAATGCGCAAGCGATTGCGGCCAAAAGAGCGTCTTTGAAATGCAGCCTACAATGTTTTAATGGTTCGTTGAACCAAGTAGATCCATGTAGATGTACAATTTGGTTCGTCAAGGAGGCGAGTGGTCAAGGTGGCTACTGCGGCACGGACCCAACTTTCCAGCGTTATGTTGGTTAGGCTCGCTCGGCTGTGCTCAGGCCATCATCTGCTCCGGATGGTTTCAGACTGCAACACAGGCTGGGTGGTCTTTGTTTGTCATAACTTTCTCGCGGCTTCTCGCGATGCCAAGGTGCCTGCAATCCGATGCAGACGTCAGACTGCCGGTGGTGCTGGTCTCAGGATGTGTCTGTTCGGAAAGGCACCTCGTGAGCTGAACCATCCTCATACATTTACACACCAGGTCTGAATGGGATATGTGGCATGGTCCTCAATCAGGAGAGCATCCGCACTGCGCGTTCATAAGTCTTGGCGAAGAGGTCTGAATGCAGCGCCCGCTGTGGTGATGGCTCCATGCAGAGGTGCCGTGCATTCTACGGTGCATTCTGCGGAGCGGTGCGCTCTGCCTTGCAGGGAGCGGCGGATCATCTCTGAAGCACTGGCGGGTGGGGCTGCGTGTTGGATCCTCGAAGAATTCTCTTCAAGAATTCTAATTTGCAATGTCTCGTGGCTTGCTGAGGTGAAGGGCCCTTAAAAGAGCTGTCGCTTTGCCAGTCAGGATTCTCAGCCTCCAAACCTCTGCATTGCACACATTTGCACACCTCCCGTTGTTCCTCAACAGGGTGAGCCAGTGCACGCTGGTTGACTGCCGCTGGGCAGATTGGCGCCGAACCCAGGTTTCAAGGGCGTGGCATAGGTTTGCTGAGACTCTGAGACAAGTTTCACTGAGGGGAGCCTGGTCGGACTGCTCTTGCGAGTGCGGCGGTGGAACCAAGCGACGAACGAGGGTGTGCTTCACGACTTTGGGATGAGCTGTTGTTTCAAGCCACTCGATGCAGGCAGTGATGGAAGCTCCAAGAAATGGTGGCAAGGAATGCGAGCCCCAGGCCCACTCCATATCACTCCGTAAATCCCATGCCGTGGATGATTGTTGGCAGGACATGGAGGAAGCCTTTCCCTGCAACACTCAGCTGGGGCCTTCGAAAGGGCTGCCAGGAGTCGAAGCAAAGGGCTCCTTGTCCGAATCCTTCTTCCAAGGCCATGTGGGAGCGGTTGTGTCGACGGCCAGTGGGGGGTCAGTAGCTCAGAGATGCCAACTTTATCCTCCCTCAAGATCCCTCAAGTATTGGGTCACTTCATGAAGATCATGATCTTCATGTCCTTCGTGCAAGCCACGCTTGACGGAGGCATGGAGCTCTTGGACCTCTTGCTCTGCAACCTGCCGCGGTCTTAGGTGCTTTAGGGTTCCTGCTGTTACATGGGATGCCAAAGGTGCCAGCAGCTATCAATCTCGTAGCCGCAACCTCGAAATCCAGTCTGCTCCTTAAGGGTCAGCCCAGGCTGCACCAGACGTTTCAGCAGTGGCATCTCCGCTGAATGATTTTGATGCGGTGTCAAGTTTGAAGCCTAAGCGCAGCAAACTCAAAACGCAGATAAGCAAGGGTTTCGGCACATTCTCAACCACCCTTCTCCCAATCTTTCCCTACCCTTTGCCTCTACCCATCCCTTTTTTGATCTGATTAATTTGCGGTGCCATGCCGTGCATTGGTTGCAGGCCAAGCAGCTGCGGCAAAGCGGCTGCCGGGCCACGTGACGAGCGCATCGCTCGAGACAGTGCTTTGGGTTTAGGGCAAAAAGCGCCGCGAATTGCAAAGCCATGCAAAGCCATGCAAAGCCATGCAAAGCCAAGGTACCAAGTGTGCAGCCAGCTGCAGCCGCTTCCTTGAAGCATCCGGGGAAGCATATCATCGTTTAGACTGGCTGGTGAATGAGGCCATGTATTGAGGACACTGATTGTCAACTGCATGAGTGGGGCGAGTGGTCAGATGCCCAGTGCGAAGCTGATGGGCTCACTTGCCCAGGAAGAGTCAGCAACGTCTTAGGTCGCATTGCAGCTGCCATTGCTTTGGAATCCGAGAGAGGACGGCAATCTGTCACGGAAGTTGGTCATTTTCCGTTGCAGCTGCAAGGGAAGATGCAAGAGTTTGCTCAGGAATCGTTTCATATCCCACTTTGCCACTGGAAAGGGCAAGCCTTGCGCACTTGCTGCCCTCAAGGCTAGCTGCGTCGTGAGTATGTTCTGCTGCTTTCGCAACTACGCAACTGTCTTTGGAAGGTTATTGAGCCATGCAATCCTGGTCCGTCTCCTTCCTGGCCTTTGTTGTAAGTCCTAATTCATTCCTGAAGAGCGTGTGGCTCAGGCTCACGGCGTATAATCCCGATGTTCCGGGTGGGCTGCCGCTTCAGCTGCAGGTTCGTCCGCAGAACTGCTTGTGGTTTGCTTGAAGCACCCGCTGGTTTCGCCAGGTGCCCCCAGCTGACTGTCAAGACAAACCGCGATGTCCTCAAGACAAACGGAAGATCACATGTCAGCTGAACTGAGCCGCGATTCTGAGGCCGGTGGACTGCGAGCTCCATCATTGGAGTGAGTGGCACGGTGCCCAGAGATGTAAGTGGAACTGCATAACTCTCGTCAGCCAAGAGCCTGGGCGAAAACGCTCATGCGCTTTCATTGCTTACTCGCTAATACTGCGGCAGAAGCGGAATGATTCCTGCTATTTATGAGGTCAGGGTACTTCAACGCCGCTTTGTTACACTCTTTCACAAGCTGCGGCATATCATGCCACTGTAGCAGGGCAAGGGGCTCTTGCAACAGGGTCGCACCAAGCTTGTCACCCGTTGAGTAGTTGAATGTATTTGCCACGTTGGTTGGATTTGGCGACCTTATCATGTCCCAAAGCCTGAAGCCTGAAACAAAAAGGACCACCATTTCGGGTAAGAGTTTAGTCGAACGTGACGTCTGGGTGTGGCCTTTCGCTCGCGCGCCGTGCCTAGCACACCTCAGCACTTCTGGCTGTCGACCCCCAAACTTGGCTTTCGCTTTACCTCCATTGTTGCGCGATGGTGAGTGAGCGCTGGGGTTCGTCGGGTGTCCGCCAGATGTCGAAAACTTCTTCCCGTCTCAGGAAGATTTTCAAGAGACAATCCCGCACGGGTTCCGCTTTTCAAGGTTGAAGAATCATAGGCATCTCCAGGGTAGAACCCAGTTTGTTCGACCAGTTCGAACCTCCTGCCCCCAGCGAATCCCAGCGCATCCCTGCTTCCGTTTGAAGGGACATTCTGGTCAGTTGATTCCAAGCTCTGCTGACCTAGGTAAGGAGCAAAATTGGAAGCCTGCTCGTCTTCCAATGCAAGCCGAACAGTCATCTTGAGGCAGCAGGGCTATCCGCGAAGAGCAGACTCAGATGAAACGCATCCACATCAGCTTAAAGCATGTCTTCGCCCGGAATCGTTTAAGGCTTGAAGGATCCCCGAGAAAACCTGCTTTTGTTTTGGGTGGCCATTCGAATGATGCTCAGTGCCTGAAATTCAACGAGGAATGGCTAGCTTGCAGGGCTGTACCTCCCATGACACGCAATCATGACGGACCTGAGCGCCAGCCCCAACTGAGCCACAAGCCGCGCGCAGCCTTTCATCAGACCGCTGTGGTGCTGCAGACGTTGAAAGCCTAGTAAGCTTCTGCTTCGGAGAAGGTGTTGCTGTTGTCGTCATCGTCGTCGTCGTCGCTTTTTTTTCTGTGTTGCCAGTCCAAGTTCGTTCTGCGCGATTCGGACGCTTTCAGCTCCGGGCAATGCACACTTTATCTTCAGCTGCTCCAACCTGCAAGACCATCGTAGCTCAGTGGTGCAAACCATAACCTCTGAGATACATGAAGCTTGATTTGTAAGTGTACCAGTCGAATCCAGCTGACTCAAAGTGGGAGGTGAAGAAGGAAACCGCTTAGAAGCAAAGCTTTAGCCAAGGACACGATGCTCCAGAACATGTGGGGGTGGCCAGCGCGAGCGCAGTCGGACTGCAGAGAGCTCAGTCGAATTTTCCCCCTCGCGCTGTGTGCGGGTCTGCCTGAGAACTTCAGGTCCGCACGGCACCAAAGCATGGTGGACAGCCATGTCGGGCAAACCGTCAGTGTACTTGCATCTGCCAGTCCATAACATGCGATAACATGTGTGAAGGCAAGTCTGACCTGACGACTGTGGAGCCCTGCAATCTAGATCCTTGTCACCAATTTCATTGTGAAGACTGCAGGCCAGAAGTCTGTTGAAATCCAAGCGCTTAAAAGCCGTCAGTTGCAGGTGGGGTGCATGGAGCGACTGGGGAGGTTGCAGCAAGCATTGCCCTCAGAAAAGGCATTGCTAAGCTTGCTGCGTTTTTCATGACATGCGTTTGCAAGGTGTGGTGGGCAGAAATATCGCCACAGATCCATTGTGCAGATGGCAAACCATTGTGGTGCGCATCCCTGGCAGCAAAGCTTTGTGCAGAGATCGAAGTCTTGCAGGCAAGCCATGCGATGTTAAGGCGGCGAAGGAGGCCGCCCTGAGGTTCTGCAGTCGATGGCAGGGTAATGCATGTAGTAGTGTTGCAGCGGTCAGAGTGAGTTTTTGGACAAGTTGGGCACACGAAAAGTGCACGCGAAAAGTGCACACGAAAAGTGCAACAAGCTATATTGTCAGATGGAGTGCCTAGTAGCCGGCACAATCGGGACCACAGGGCAATTTTTGTTTATGATATCTTGAAATTTCGATTTGGCATTGCCCTTGCGGGGTAAACGCTGGGAGTTCCTTTGACGGTATGTGCGCCTGAAACTTGGAACCAACTGAACAGACTACCAGCTGCACCAGCGAGTGCAAGAAGCCGCTGTACTGCGCTTGGACAGAATGGTGCTCGGCCCAGGATGCACCAATTGCAACGCTTCTGCAACATGTGAGACTTGCAAAGAAAAGGTCTGGGGCAACTTCCTGCGCTCAGTGCGGCCGGGCGCCTCTTGATTTTGATTCCTGCTTCACCATTGTTCAAAAGAATTTTACATGAGGTCCAGCCACTACCATGCGCAACCGAGCCCTAGGAGCTGTCCTCAGTGAGATGACACCCTAAGCCTCCGCAAGCCTGACCTCACTCCAGGCTTTTCATCCACAGATCCAGGGCCCGGTCAGTGGTTTTTCCGCGTGTCGCATACTTGGAGCTTTTGGTTTCGTAGACTTGGGAAGGTTCTGCACCGATTTATGAGCCCTAGGACTGGCGAATCTGAATGTGCGGGGACGCAGCTGAACGTAAGCTTGTGCCCTTCCGTCTGCTCCTTACCCTGTTGGCAGCGGCTAAATCGCTCATCACAGCATCAACAATTGCGTTGGCAGATGCAGCAGCAGTGGAGTGAAGAGCGGGAGGGGTTGTGTGATGTTTCGTGCCATCCGAGGCTGGGACAAGCTGCCAGAATTGCGCTTTCTGCTCGGTGTTTTAGTTTGTCGGACTGACCAGCCTTCAAAAATCTTCAGGACGTGCTTTGGATTTCAGGTCCCTCAGCACTGCCACTTTGGCGAGTGGGGGGACTGGCGCGCCATCCTTTGTCAGCCACCTTCTGGAATGTTGCCACAGATCCGACAAGGCGTGAGCCGACCTGTGTTGGCCTTTGTGAGCGCGAGCGAACTATAGCCACAGCCTGAATGTGAGCTGTCAATGCCTGGTCTGCTTTGCTCCTCCCTCATTGCCTGTAACTGTAGGCTATCACCAACAACGAATGTGGAGATCCATGTGCACCACTCAGGGAAATTGAATGTTGTATGAATTTCTCTCGGCGGGCAGAACTGAAGGTAAAGGACCAATGCTCATGACAAAAAGTTGCCCCGTGGAGTCCTGGCCAGAGCATGCGGTGGCAGTTTTCGCAGCAGTTCGAGAACAGGGCGGTCGACTGGCTTCTGGCTTCTGTGTGAGGTGCACCCAACCTAAAGACTGTGCATTCTCCGCTTGGAGCGAGTGGTCACGGCCTCGGGCATGTTGGTGCAGCTGCACGGACTCGGACTCATTCTCGTACGCTATATACGCCTTGCCTTTCAGGAGTCAATGTCCGGTTTTCGCATCGCAGTCCCAGAGAACGCGCTCACGAACTATTGTCCAGACTCTGGTTCTCTTGCTGTGCACACTGTCAACGGACAACCAGGTCACAGAATAAGCTTCCTTTGTGTTCGAGGCCCAGCAGCCAGAGAATGAGGGCAGGCCTTGCGTGCGTGCCCCAGCCGACATCCTGCAGAGGTGCCAAGTACAAGTGCAGTGCTTCGGAGGTAGGGGCTTTGCAAGAAACTGTGGCCTGTCCCAGCCTTGTTGCTTTGCGAGCCTCGCAATTGATGAGAATCTTGTTTTCAGTTTCATCCCGCGGAGCTGCAGGCGAATACAATCACCTCAAGGTTGACTGTTCCTTCACGCCATGGGATCAGTGGCCCGCGGCCTTGGCGGCTCGACTTCAATCCCAGAATCCCTTCAGTGCATTAGCACCAGGTCATCCTGTAGTCGCACGTGTGGCAGCGGCGGCTGGAAGGTGTTTTGTTTGTTCGTGTTGCTTGCCATATTTCAAGAGCAGAAGGCTGCGGCAATTGCAGCATCAGCAATTTCTCAAAGTTCTAGGCCGGTTTTTGACAGGAACGGACTCGAAACATTGCGGACGCAGCAGCAGGTGGTGGACTGCAGTGCAAAGGAGGCCTGGAGCCCAGTTGTCACTGGCGTTTAGAACTTTGCAGAACCAAGCCACAACAAGCCAATGTGCAGCGTACACGCCAGATGGCCATGGAGAGACGGAGCAGATCTAGAATTCCTGAATTTGAATCTGTAAAGAATTCAAGGATCTCAGTATCTGTATTTGATGTCAGATTCCGTTAGCCTGTCCTGATGGGAGGTCTGACAGAACTGGTGGCTTGTGATGGTGAACAGGCCCACGCAGCGTAAACCTATACTAAACAATCGGCGGCACGCCTTGGCAAGGTTTGTCCGGGCTACGAGAAGGTTGATTGTCAGCCACTTTCTCAGACTGAGTGCACCCGCTGGTGATGCGGGTGGCGTGTTGCCATCTCGTTTGAGGTTTGCACCATGGGGGGCATGGTCAGCACCGGCAAGGGCCCTAATACTTGTGCCATTCATGCCGTAGTCTGCAGGATGTGCTTCAGCGCAGTCAAGCCCATTGTCTGGCTCTAGTGCTTGCAGCGCAGAAGGCGCAAATCTTGAGTCTCCAAGGACACCAGCAACCAAAGGAAGCGGGTAAGAAAGATAGTTCAGATGGCCCTGCATGGTGGTGACCCCTGCTGGAGCCCAAGCCTAGGAGTTCCCCAAGCGATTTCCTCACAATAAGCCTTATGTGCCAGGTGAAGGCACCTTGGAGGACTTGCTCTTGTTCTTGGTGTGGGCGACATTTTTATTCCAGCAACTTTTACCATCAGGAGGTTGAAAGCATTCCACCGGTGACCAGCGACTGCGTCGTTTCGGTCTTCAGCCCAGACCGACCCTGCGCGGAAATGCAACTCGCAGAGATGACCGGGCACTGCCAAAACCTTTCGAATCTCCCGTGCAGGAGTGGAGTGAATGGGACAGCTGCGACCGAGGCTGCATACTGAGAGCTTTAAACTGGCCATGATACATGCGAACAAAACAAAAACTGAAGTTTGGAGTGACTCGTGTCAAAACTCAGTCTGTGGTGGTGGACAGTCGGTAAGACATCGGGAGGCCTTGAGTTTTGAAGGGTGCTTGGTAGTTTGTGCTCGCATGTGCGCTGATTCTTCAACTTTTGGGAGGTCCGGCGATTCCCCCAAGCTGGCGGGGCACCCTGCCCTACTGATCTCAAGGTGACTTGAGTCCTCCATTGCTGAGAGATGCTGAGAGAATGATGGCAGGTAACACGAAGTTGCAACACTCAGTCGCCAGCCCAACTGACTTGCTGTGAAATGTAGCGGCTGACAGTATCTGCAGCAAATCAACGCTTCGTCAGGTCGTGTGATGCTCAAGACTGCACCGTGTCGGGGTGGAGTGAGTTGGACGCTCAGCAAGCCTTGGCAAACTCCGAAAGGCCATGCCAAAGGTGCTGCACAAGTCACATGCACCTTCAGCCTTTCCTGTCTAGTTTGCTGTTGCATTGCTTTATCTCCAGCTGAGAGTCAGGTGGGGACCCTGCTCCTCAAGCTGCGGAGCCGGCCAGCAAAGCAGGAGCCTGGCTCTCGTCTGCCAGAAGCAGAAGGCTGCGGCAACTCCTTTTCACAGCTTGGCACTTTTTAGGCCGCCACATCACCAGCCTGCGGAGCTTGGATGGTTTGGGTGCGGCCCTCTAAATGTCTTTCGTGATATTTGGGTAAGATGCTAATAATTGCCAATGCCCTTCTCTCAGGCTGCCACTTGGGTCTCGGCATGACTCAAGAGTGCGTGAGATTCTCAAATACTCTTAGGGTCCAGTTTTTCTTGGCAAGACGGTCACTGCAACCTGTATGAGGAAGGCGATCACTATTGCGGGAAGCTTGACTGCGAATGGGGCATGGGCCTCAAACGGCGTACCAAATTACACCTAATGTGGTCGATGTGACGTGAGATTGGGCAGGTGAATGGAGTGATTGGAGCGGATGCACATGCAGCTGTGATGGTGGGCAGCCACGAACTCAGATTTGTCAGAGGAGGAAAGCACCTTCGCATGTTTCAGCCTGCCTTGGCCCATAGTGGCACGTAATGCCGCGCCTATTTACTGCAGAACTTGCCCGCGAGCTTTGCAGATTCCACCTTCTGCTGTTTTCACTTTGCGCGATGAAAACACAAAAACCCAAACATATTCTTCGTGGGGTGTGCATGGTTCCCCAAGACTGCATATAGATTCGCAGAACAGTTGTGGATTCTTTTCACGAACTGTGAAGTTCTTTTCGCAGGAACCTGTGCATTCTGGCTAGAAACTGTAGATATGCGCAAAAATCCTGAGACTTTTCCAACAAATCTGGTATCGTGCGCAAATCTCACCGAACTTCTGCAAACCCATAGACTTGCACGGTGTTCCTTCATTCTTGCAAGCTTACATGACAGGTTTCGCCAACAGATGCAGGGTTTGCAAGAGTGTTGTCATAACCTTCAAATGTTGAAGAAAGCTTGGGCGTTAGCGGACCATGCATGGACTTCGCCCAGCTTCGCGAGAGTCATAAACCCTAGCGTAGTGGTCCTTATGAGGGTCTAATGGCTCACATGAACTGAAACAGAGAAGAAGAAAGGAACGCTTTTGGCCGATAGGAATTCCAGATTTAACTTTTTGGAAAGATATCTAAGATCCAGGGTGTAAAAGAGTCCTGAGATTCTAGCATGTTTTGGGGAAACAATTGGTCACCGTGTTAGGAGAGGCCGGGTCTCTCCTTAACCCGAAGCAAGAAGTTTGCAAGTCTCAAATTTCACTTAACGAAGAAGCTTCACCAAATTGTGGCAAAATACTTGTCAGGATAAATTTACGCAGCTATGCGCAGCTGCCTTGCATCTACTTGAAAAAGCGATACTTTCTTACTGGATTGTGGCAATTCTTGATTTTTGCGCCGGACCTCTGCAGAAACTCATAGATTCTTAAAAGGATCAGCCATTTGCCAAACAACGCATGTTTGCACAAGCGCCTGTGGATTTTTTTAAACATTCGAAGATTTTCAACAACATCCAAGATTTTCGTGAATGTTTTAGTAAACGGTGAATATGTCTGCAAACAAAATTCAACCTTGCAGCGCAGAGGCACATGTAGAAGCACCGCTACATGTTAATTTTTTCCGCCCTGGACTGAAATGCGTAAACGTTACTCATCATCTGCCTGTCGCTCACAGTTCCTGCAGGCAGACTCGGACGCGGCACATTGCCCGTGCACCGCGCAATGGCGGTTTGCCCTGCCAGGAGATTGCGGCAGGGAGTGCTGGCTGGGAGACTCCTTCAGAGTTGACTGTTTTCGGCCTCTGCGAGGAGGGTGACAAGGAGCAGATTGCGTGCTGCTCCTGGGAACAGTAGTTCATGTCATCCTGTTTATTGCTACACGGATAGATCACAGTTGGGTCTGCCTTGTCCGAGGCCCTGCAATACCCAGCCATGCGGTGAGACGAAGTGCCGAGATGGCCAGCAGAAGGCTTACGGAATTTACGGGTAATGCAAGCAGATGCCAGGATGCTTGCTTCAAAGCATGACAACCACCCGTTTGTCATGTACACTGACTTTCTCTTGAGAACCATTCACTAGCATTTTCCCTAGTTACTTACTCGGTGTAGATTCAACTAGCCGCGAAGTCCCGGAGCCCATGGGTAACTTGCACGTTTGGTCAGTGACTCGCTCAGTGCTTGCACCCCAGACAGTCACGGGTCTTTACGGTCATCGGGACGCAGCGGAAAGTGCAGGGTAGCCTTTTCTGGGTCGTCGTCTGTTCTCGGAGCAGCGCGAGGTGTCATTTTTTGTGCATTCGAGGTGGGACGAATGGACGTCATGGGCTCCTTGTTCGGTTTCTTGCGGTGGCTCGGCTAAATTTTGCCGTCAACGCTGGAAAACACCAGCCCCAGCCAAGATTAGTACTAGAGGCGGTGGAGTGACTTTTCGCAGACGAAGGCCTTCTTTGCTCGGTAGGCCACATGTGTGCTCCAGAGTTACTGGGCACCTGGAAGACCCTGCAAGGATTGGCATCATGGCAAATGACTGCGGCCGGGAGCAGCAGCCTGAGCTTCCCGAGTTTCCCGAGCTTGCTTTAAAGTTTTACAGTCCGTAGTCTTGCAAAACGTCGCGCCATGCACTGCAAGGCCTTTGGGCAAGAGCAGAGAGATCGCATTCTGCGATGTGGGCATTTCTTGCTCCAGGCGCACCTGAGGCATTTTGATGGGTGGAGCTTCCTGCTGTTGCTTTGTGAGGCCGGTGGATTGTGAGCTTTCAGAGCATGGCTCCCAGCTCTTTACGTCTTGGCACGAAAGTCGCCAGACACCCATTGCTGCATTTGCTGCCGCTTTGGAGGTGGAGCTCCTGGAGCGCGTGCTCCTCAAGTTGTGACGGGATTCGGCATCGCTCCCGCGGCGTCCAGCCTGCTTGGTTGTGAATCTCATGGATTCTCATGGTATCTAATGAAGAAAAATGCCCAGCTCCGGGCCAGTGGATGTGGATGTGTGCCTGAGTTGCGCAAGCCCGTACGTTGGCGTGCCAGGTCCGGATCTATGGAAAGGGGGATGGCCGATGGTGCAAGGGTGCGCGAGCCCTGGACTTGCTTGAGCACAAGCACACCTCAGGCATCGTTTCCATTTCGGCGACGTGTAACTGCAGAAGAGCAGCCACAGAGCATGCTGCAAACAATCGCTACTAAGGGGCTGCGGGAAACGGCACCCTGCAACCCCACGCAGGGCTCCCTGCTGCCAGAGGCCGTGTCCTCTCACTTGCAAGCTTTGGCACGGCCTCGCATGTGCTAGGGTTGTGGCCCTGGCCCTGCTCGGGATTGTCTGTTTGGACCATGGGAGGCATCAAATGACACTCTGTGAAACACTCACAGCTAAGCCTTGAGACTCCCAGCTCTTCACGAGGCCTGGAAGACCTGCAGCGCTTCCTGCGGGGGCGGCGAGCACTCGTTGCTTTGGCTGAATCAAGCCATTTTGGGGAACCGTGAACCTCGCCATGGCTAGCACTCTGCTGCTCTACTTTCTGAGACCATAGTGGCACTGGATCAAGGCAGCATTTGTTGACTTTTGGCTTTGCTATACGGTCATGTGCTGATGATGGAGGCGTAGTTTCTGCTGATGGTGTCTAGGTCACTTACCTGTCGTGGCAAGCTACACCTTGCCCTGCTTCAAGAAGCGGTGTCAGAAAGGGTTGGCAAATGAGCTACGTTGTGCCGGCATGTGAATAAAACTTCTGCAGTCGGATTCCTGACAGTTGAGGCGAAGCCGGGAGATTTTCCAGAAAGCAAAGAATGGAGGGCTGCCCTGCAAGAAGCTTATTAAGAATGGACAGCTGTCCGTATGCAATCTCTCAGTCGCGATCCAGGTGAGGGTGACCTCAAGCAGATCTCTGAATGTGCCAAGAGCTCATCGGTTCCTGCTCACCAGCTTCGGTTTTGTTTAGTTGTTTCCCCACTAATCCCCACTAGGTTGCTGCGATTGAACTGTCGTCAAGAAGCGGTTTGGGGCGTTAGACATCATGTTGCGTGCCGTAGCGTGCACAGGTCAGAGCTGAACGTGAACTGCGATCGGGCATGTCCATCTTTCTTTTGCAATCGTTCGTTTCTTGTTTTCCCTGCCTCTGACAGCCTCTGTGCTGTTGCAATTTCTGTCTTTCTTGGGGAGGATGCTGGAGCAACCGTACACATAACACTTTTCTCGCTTCTCCGCACCCGAGCCGGAGTGCACAGTCCCAACCTTGCACATCCGCAAGCATTGTAGACTGCCTGCCCAGACTCACACCAAAGACCAAGCTCAAACCTGACATCTGAGGCATACGCCTCAGTCCGTGTAGGAGCTGGACGTGCAAGCGCATGTTTGCAAATGGGCCTCGCTGGTTGCACGCACTGCCTATGGGCTCGTCTAAGTGGAATGTATTGACCTTAAGTGTTTTTCAGTCCCAGCCCCCATCCTGAATCTGAAATCCCGCAGCGGGCCTAATTGGACCACCAGACCCCAAGTCCTTGTGTTGATGGGTGCAGCTTCACTGTCTAAAGGTGAGCAAGAAGTTTGCTCGGCTTTTTAATGAACATCTTTGATATTTGTGCCTTATACAGTACGGTACAGATCATAGCTTTGCAAACATCTTCCTTCTTCAGAGCAAGACGTTGCTTCTTGCCCAAGTCAACGGAAAAGAAGGACAGAGAAGATCCATCTGACCTGAGCAGAATGCCGCACTGGTCCTTCCGGCTTGCAGGCAGGTCCAAGTTAAGCAAAGAGCTGCCCTACTGCGAAGACCATGGGCCTCTAAATCCTCTCCATGTCCTTCCAAGATGCTGATCTCGAACGCAGCAAGGAGAAGAGGTACTCATTCACCTTCAACTCGCTTCTGGGTTTTTGCAAACAGCACTTCTCGGCATCCTTGTTTGGGAAAACTCATCCATCTAGTAAACCATTGCGGCGAGCAGAGCAGTGTACTCTAATTTCAGACTAGCATACAGCTTGTGGTTTCTGCTCACATCAGCGGCTAAGGGTCACTCACTTCTCAACTGCATCTCTCTAAGCCGCAAGGGAAAGGAAGTTCTGCTAAAAATGGCAACGCATAACCGCGTCGCAGAGGAACGAAACACGATGAACGAAAAGTCAAGGCTCTTGTTCGAGACGGAAACTTGACGGCGGACAGCCTCCAGTCCACACACTTTCCCCTCAACTTGCTTCCGGGCAGGGCTTGCAAAACTGTAAGGCAGCTTGGCAAGCATCCTTAAGCGCAGTCTCTGCAATCAGATCGTCGTGATTGGAAGGCTTGGGAACTGAGCCCATCATTTGCACATGATCTTGTAAGGCCTATTCTTCAACTGCTGCGGTGTCATGGCAAACAGCCAGACACAAGCACTTGGTCATCCAATCTGAACCCAACTGTAAGATCACAAACTCCATCTCTAAGTAGTTGAAGGTAGCCAGCATCTCTTTCCAAAAAAGTAGTTTGTTCCCCTGTCAACACTTACTTTGTAGTAGTTCTTCGTGCAGATCTTATGCATCTTGCCTTGGACTCATTGAGTTTCAAGTTGAGGTTTTGGGAAGGGAGGGTACCGTGTTGGGGTTTGCGAGTGAGAGTTTGGGGGCTATGGGTCTGGGGTCTGTAAGGCTCACGGTACAAGCAGCCTTTCTTACAGTTACAGCGGGCATGACTCATTCCTGACTCCTGACTGCTCATTCGCGAACCAGACGTTCGACAAGGCGGCAGCCATAAACCAATCCAAACAACCCTCAAACCTGAAGTGACATAGCCTCCCAAATCAGAAGCCTCGCATATCGTGCCATTCAGCTATGGCAACATACATTTGTGGGTTTTTTCTTCGGCAAGGCCAGACACGATTGCGGCGGTCCCGAACCGAAAGATTGCATCTTTGGTGACTGGGAGGATAGCGCAGTGGTTGTTTAAAGCAAAGCCTTTGAATAGAGGACCAGTGAGAGTCGACTGAAACCTGGAATGAGGAGTGGGGTGCCTGCGGCAAGTGCAGCGGACAAAGAAAGAGGCTCGCTTGTGCGGCCTTTTGGATGGCTGAACACTTAAAAAGACAACAGGTTTCGCAGCATCATGCAGTATCCGACAGCAGGCGGCCTGGAACTAAGCTGGTGCAGGTTGCTAACCCACGAAGTTAGCAAGAAAGCTAAACCACGAAGGTAAGGAGTGCGACTTAACAGAAACCGAGCAGGCTTGCTGCGTTCGTCAAGAAAAGTTTCTGTGGACGTCATGCGGCTTTTGGCAGAGAGGGCTCTTGGCAGGCGGGAAGCTGCCCTCGCAGTTGTCATACCCAGTGCGGGCCCAAGGTTATTTTCACGTCCAAAAGCTCCCGTATGTTCGCCTGATTTCGTTCAGGCATTTTTGTGGCTGGGCGACTTGGGGTGCTTGGGGCTCATGCTCGGCGTCTTGTGGTCAAGGCGCAGTTTGTGTGAAATCTGAGTGATCCGTGTGTCGTGATGTGACCACTGGTGAGATTGAGAAGTTGCCAGGCTACAGACAGCGCCGGAGACACCTGCAGCTTCCAGCTTGGCAAATCTTGACACTGAGATCTGCTGCGCTGCCAGAGTCTGCCCGCATACATGGAAGCCCAGGTTGTCGGACAACCCGCATGCTCTGATGTCCCTCAGAGATTAAAGAAGTACTGTCAAAGTGCCACAGCATCTGTGCCCAACACAGGATTGGCCGGGACATGATCCAAGAGTACGATGACCTGGTGCAGAGAACGCAGGATGGGCATGCTAGCTTGCCGCTGTCCGTTGCAATAGATCGGAAGCGCATGAAGTGGACTGACTGTACCAGCTGTGCGCCGGCTCAAGTGCTGGCTGAAGTCATAGATTTCTTGCACGGGGGTTAAGAGGTATTTTCTGCATTCTTAAGGCAGGAGTCAGCAGCAGCTAGACTTTTGGTCAAGCCCGCCAACTACCTTCGGCGATCCGCCGCCTTTAGCGGCTTCATGCCAATTTCTGGGTTTCGAAGCTGGCTAGTAGCGAGCTTGGCTTTGTCAGCAGGCAGCGGTTTCTTGCAGGCTTGCCGAACATTAAGGGTGCTGCAGCCTCGATTTAGAGGCTCCAATCTGAAGGCCGCTGGCGCGGCTGAGTTTGCTGACTTAGCAAACTTGCACTGCTTCCTGATCAGCACAGCTTGTGCAGAGGAACGTCGCACGGATGCTCTAGCAGCCCTGAAAGATGTTTGCAGTCCGCAAGTACGCGTCTTCGAGCGTGATGTTGTTGATGGTGCCCGCGGTTGCTATCTCTCGCACATTTCTGTTTATGAAGAGATGATAGCAAACGGCGCCCCCTGGGCTGTGATTTTTGAGGACAACATTCAGGTGCTCTCAGCTTCTGACCTGAAAGTTGTGCTTCAATCCTTGCAAAAATGGACCACCTCGGCCTCCTGGATGATTTTACATCTAAGCTTGGTGCATTCTGCTGCTTCCCTCAAGTTGCGGAAGGAGGAGGCTCTGACGTCCGATTCTGACATACTGAGAGTGGAGCGGACAGCGCCCGACTGGTATGGGCCCGTCCAGATCGATCGCGCCCCAGGTCTGGGAACGACGGCCTACATCATTTCTAGAGATGCCGCACTAGCAATTGTGAAACACCACGCAGATATTGGTTATGTGCAGCCCATTGACGACTTGTTGAGCGAGCCTGGTCAGAATATTTCCTTGAGGATCTGCACGATTCTGCACGTCTCAGAGTGTAACAGCATGAATGGGAACTCGGCAATTACAGCTCCACAACTTCCGCATAGCGATTTTCGTAGACAACGACAAAAACTGCAACCAGTGAGAAGTCACCGAAAGAGATCAAACAGGTTCAACAGACTCACGGTTAACAGAATGGTGCATGCAAGCCTGTTGGCAAACGTAGGAATTCACAAGCTGATCATGCTGAAGCACGAAGACTGCAAACCCAAAACCAGTCCAAGGCGGCTTTGCCATGCAGTGCCATCCCTGATGGCCCAAAGGGCAGCATGGGCAAATCCTTGACACTCATAGCTCCATGATGCTCCATGCATGTTCGCCTCACCAGCTGAGTGATCACTGCCCAACAACGCATTCGTTGCGTTTGTTGCGAACAGGCTTTTATGTGGAGCACGCTGCTTTGTGCCTTTTGCACTGTTCTTGCTACATCTTGCTACCAAGGAAACCTTTCCTGACACCACATTTGCAATATTCCCGGCTCCGGTGCATCGTGGAAGGGCTGCAAGTCTCATAAATACAGTTGCTTGGACTGCAGACAGCTCAACTGGACGCGAGCCATTTAGCACCCGCAAGCCTCTAGTCATTTGCTACGGCATGCAAGAGGCTAAAGGGCGCCGTGGATGCTGCGGAGGAAGTAGTGTTAAAGGTAGTGCAGTGAGAGACGCGCTGTTGTTGCTGACCTCAAGGCATGCTTGAATGTCGACTATGCACGTCAACAAACGGTAAGCGGCTGCTTGCTAAGGACCAGGAGCTGTTCCGGTCAGTGATGTATGACCCGCGTGTGTTCAGAAACTTAGATGCTCGGAGGCATTTGATGTTTTCCCCCGTGCGGTGGTTGATCTGCGTTGGACTGGAAGGAAGCTTGGGCTTTTTGGTGTTGTGGTGTCCGTATGATTTTTCTTGTCTTTTACACTGCCAGTGCCGTTCTTCCTCCCCTGAGGAGCTGCGAGTGCTTGGTCTGCCCTCTCATTGACAGCAGCGCATAAGAGCAGAACACACGTGCAAGCGTTAGCAAACAGCGATTTCAGTCTCTGCCTCTTTGCTTCCGGAGGAGTGGACGCTGGTTCAGACTGGCTTGTCGAGCAGCCAACTCGTTTGGGTCTTTCTTGCAGCAATGGCGGTATCCAATCCAAGCGTTGGCAATTTGTTGGTGTGTGAAGCTCTGGGTGCAAGTTGAAGCATTTTCAAAGTGAGGGAGGGTTAGGGGTAAGGGGAGTTGATGTGAGCAAGTAAGGCATGGACTGTTGGTGTGACTATTCCGATTGGGAGTGCGCTCTTGAGATGAGGCGTTGGAGCAGCAAGCAAAAGGATCGAAAAAGGTGTGCTTTCGTTGTGTATCGGACTAAGACTTCTGCAGCTGACCCACATGTCCTGCTTGAGGAGTTGGACGCACAGCATTTTCGCGAGCTGGCCATGGCTTTTGCTGCCGGCGGTTCTGGCCTAAGCAAGAGCACCGATTTGCTGAAGCTGCGAAGCTGCAAGTAGAGCTTTGCAAGCTGAGGGGCATGCTTGATGTTTGCGTTCACCTTGCTTCGCGGTTCGATACCGTGGTCGCAGGCAGGATCCAGCGTTGGGTGGGAAGTGCATCAAAACCCAAGTTTCGCACTGGGGAAACAGAAAGGATTCAACAACACTTGGGCAAAACACGGTTTTGGAATTTCACCAGGTCAAACAAGTCCTTTGAAAGCTACGAATACATGATGTGGAGTAGTAAAGCAGGCTGCGCCGTCCACCAGTCCAGGAATTCCTTTCATTTAACTTTGACCAGTGGATGCTTCTGGCTTCCAGCATTGGTGATGCTCTTTACCACTCAAAGCTTGCTCTCTGCTATCTCTGCTCTGATGGTTCCAGCATGTTCCAGCCCTGCAGACGGCAATCACAACACCAATATGAACGTTGCAGATCCAGGAGCATTTGGCTAGCGTTCCCCTCCCTATTTCGGCTTCAGACATTTCCCTGGAGCCGTAGAAGTCCATCTGCTGGCGCATTGTTGCCGCCTTCGCATCACCATCACCATCGCTCGCCCTCATCAAGCGCATCAAGATATATCAAGCCTATCTTGTACTGTATTAGAGTGTCCGTCCGGGCACAAATACAGAAAACGCGCAGATTGCTTAAGCCTGAGGCGCATGTCCACGTGAGTAAAGCATTTGGAAGCAGCAAGATGTAAGGGAGAAACGGGCAGAAATCAGTACCGCGTTTGTAGGATTTGATCAAGGAGCGTTTGCTTTGCAGGATCAAGCTTGTTTGTGGAGTACACTACATGGAACGTGCAGATAGAGAAAGCAGTGATAGGAATCCCCACTGACCCATGTGCTAAACAAATGCTGGAGGGCATGGTGTCAACATTTGGCACCGAATGCAGGCATGGTTTTGCGCCTACAGTGCCAGTAGCAAGTACTGAGCTTCATAAGATGTGATCTTTCGCTGGATGACTATCACGACTCCCTGCCGCAGTCACTGGCAGTGGCAATGCGATCTTGATGTCGGGCTGAGAGGGGCTTGTTGTTGGTAGAGAAGCTCACGATGCAAGCCCGTTTGAGCAGCGACAGAATCTCTGACAATTTTTGCAGTGCAGAGTACGGATGCGGACTTGTGGCTTCAACCTGCTCATGGTTCCTGATGGCAATGCTAAGTGCCACGTTTTGGATTCAGGCGTCTTTGCGAATCACAGAGGGCGGCGTGTCCTCTCGTACGCTCGAAGCACAGCCCAGATGCTGGAACCAATTTGAAAGTCAGTGTTTCAGTCGAGCCTGGGAATCTATGGACATCTCAGGTTCTCGAGAACGACGGATAGCTTGCACCCACGTGTAAGTGACACAGCCCGGCCCTCATGTCGGTGCGGTTGACCATGTGATACCACGTGGGGCTAATAATCCCAGGCGGAAATGGCAAACGGCGATTACTGCCGCCAGCTCAACTTGTGCAGTCATGGCTGTTGGCCTTAGAGGCTATCACTTCGCATTCCTATGTTGCGAACAGCCAAGTCTTGGTGGCAAGCGAGCATGAAACCGAGCAGCGCACCAAGACCAAGCCCTCAATTTCATAGCTTGAGATTTGTAACCTTTGATTTGAGCCGCATGGGCATGCTGTGCAGGTTGCCCTGGGCTCAACGCAGCCTGGATGAGGAGAGCACTTAGCGATGTTAGCGCTACGGTGAGGCGGCTGCAGCTGAGCAGTATGAGCAATGCAGCTGACTGACGCAGCTTTTTTTGCCAGATCACGGGACATCAAACAAGTTGTGCCTGGACCCTAACTTGCTGCCATAGAGGCAACGGCAGCATTGCACCAGCTTTATCCGCACTTGACTTCTGCATCAGTCTCAGTATGTGTAATCATACATAGCCCAGCAAGACGCTATCTCAAGGTTAATCTCAGTAGAGAGGATTCAGTTTCTTGTTTATGTGCTTTCTCTTCTTCTCCAAAAATTCGCAGGGGTCGATCCACCGACCAAGTTGGGACACAGCCAGGACATTCAGCACAAGCTTAAATCCAAGATAGCAAAGCAAAGGAAGCATGTTTTATCGATGTGTGCATCTCAAGCCCGAGTGCTCGAGGCACCAAAGATGTGCACCTTCGTTTATATCCTGTGTTGGCCTCAGCCTCACATGATGCTCGAACGGAATCGACGAGACTTGAGTTTCACACAACTGATTAATGAGTTCGCAAGCTGCAGTGCAGCCTGTGTCAGAGACGCAGTGGCTAGTCTGCAGCCTTAGGCACATGGCATTTCCACCAGTTACTGCAATGATTTCCTCAAGTTCAGCTGCGCTCATGACGACGCTGTCAGTCTTTTAATGGTGGCATTGCCTGTGGATGCAATTGATGCTCATCAAAGAAAACAATCTTGCGGCACATGGGGCACGCGCAAGTTGACGAAGTCTGCGAGAGAATGCTTTTTCTGTTGAGACTGGATTCTTTTTGCTGGCGTCGTGTGTGGCACATCTTTCGACATTTGGAACATGTGCACAAGAACCCCCAACTCCGCAACTGTAGATCTGTCAGCAGGCTGTAGTACGAAAAGATGACAAACATCCAAGCTGTGCCACTAGCACAATTCACCGAACTTCAGGAGTTCAGCTGATCCCGAGTACTGCAAGAAACGGATCATCTTCTCAGACTGCGATTATGCTGAAAATGCAAGAAAGCAAGGCGGCACCTTCAATTTGCAGGGACGTCGTTTTGAACCGGCCGCATGGTGCAGCTGGCCGCCTTGACCTCGCAGCACTGGCGATTGCTGATTGTGGGGATCTCCCATGGAAGCCGTCAGGGCGCCTTAAGCTTGAGGCGCTTGTTGGAGGCCAGGGAATGTAGCACCGCTTGTTGTTGGGCTCCTTTTGCAAGCCCTCGCTGGGAATTAAGTTGTCGCGTTTAGACTCACTGTTGCAGCAGGACTTTCAACCCGCCACCGCATTTCTTGAAAGCGACAGACAAGACCTTGCCAGCATGAAAGCAGCGCGCCTCAGCCTAAAGTTGATTTTTGCAATGCGTGGCCCATTTCAAACGGTTGCTACATGCCTGTTGCCATCCTTTCGTTGTCCCTTTGTTCTCGAGATGCCAGCAAGACAGGTCAGCTGTGTTCTGTTTCAGGTCAGCTCTGTCTGATCCAAATGTGACCCCAGAATGTGCGGAAGCTCTGAGGTGCAGCCAGGCTGCAATAAGCACCATGTTTGAGTCCCTCTGTCCCTCATGTAAGCTGAGGAGCTTAGATATCCTCTCGACCACTGCAGCAATCTGCGTAGGCAAGTCGTTGCATCTACTTGAGGTGGGCAACGGAACAAAGTAGACCGTTGATCTCGATCGATCGGGAACAGCTAACAACACGACGTCGTTTGGCACAAAGCCTATTTCTTCATCCTGCGCAGCTGTTGCGTTCAAGGCCGCAATTCAAGAAGAGCAAGCTGATGTTTTCCATGTGAGATTGAGAATAAGGATTGTGAGCGAGTGTTGCCTGCATTCGCAACGGTCAGGAAGCACTGGGGAGTGGTGGCACCAGAAACGATGCATGCCGCTGATTGGAGAAAGCATCTGCTTCAAGATTGTCCCATATTGCATGAAGTTATGCTGGAAGAAGCTTGGCCATCTTTCTTGCAAAGCACGGGGATGGTCCATAGGATGGACTGAGGTTTAGAAGATGTTGGAAGTAACAGAAACCAATTGTCCGTAGCAGAGGAGTGTAACTGGAACCCGGGGAGGACCTGTAACAGGAACCACGCTGTTTCTGTAACATGCTGGTCGGAGATTCAGACGGCCACGCATGCTTCCAGCCAGGTTGGAATAGTTTTGCTCGGACCCGTTAAAAGGCGGACCGATTTCAGGTCCCCATTCATGTGCATCTGTGGGTGGGGCCTTGAATACGTAGTAATACCAACAATTCCGTTTCACTAGAAATAGTAGTAGTAGTAGTAGTCGTCGTCGTCGTAGTAGTAGTAGTAGTAGGAGTTGTAGTAGAAGTAGAAGTGGTAGTGGTAATACGAGGAGGAGAATGAGTAGAAACTGGAGGGAATCATATTTTTTTTGATATTTTTTTGTTGTTTTTTGCTAGTAAAGGTACTGCCTCTTGTTTTCTGCTTTTGGCTCTTTTCTCTGGTTCTAATTGCTGCGTTTTGCTTTCTGCTTGTCGCTTTTTGCATTGTGTTTTTTGCTTTCTTTGTTTTTGTTGTTTGCTTTCTGTTGTTGTCTGCTTTGTGTTGTTTGTTTTATGTTTTTTTGCTTTTTGCGTTCTACTTATTGCTTTCTGCTGTTTGCTTAATTGCTTTCTGCTTTTGCTTCTTGCCTTTTGCTTTCTGCTTTTTGCTTCCTGTATCTTGCTGCCTACGGTCTGCTTGCTGCTTCCTGCTTTTTGCTTTGTGCCTCCCTTCTGCTGCTTTTCGCTTCCTCTTGCTTGTTGACCACTCTCTGCTTCCTGTTGGCTGCTTTCAGCCATTTTGCTGTTTGCTTCTTCCTCTCCGCTTCTTGTTTGCTGTAGTGTCGTTTTTTTTCGCTTCTTTGGGGGCTCTACGGTCATGAGTGCTTGAGCTTCGCGTATCCAGAATGCCATTTGAGACGCCACACGCACTCTCGACAAAGCTGCCACTAGCAGGGAGTTGCACCGCGACCCCCCAACACAGGGTAGGTTTCGCGTCCTACTTTGCTTGCCGCGCCTGCTGAGTTGAAGTGGCAGTTTTCTTGCTCAGAATACCTTTCAGATGCAACCGAGCAAGGCATTTTTAGCAAGGCTGTCACCAGCGGAAAGCCATCCATGCTTACGATAAAAAAACATGTCATCACCATATATGCAGTAGTAGGGCAAAGTTGTGCGGATCATTTTGTTTGCAGATGGGGGGGCCTGCGCCACCCTCCAACCCCCCCTGCTTTTTTGAAGTCATCCATGTTTACTGTAAAAAATGTGTCATCACCATGTTCGCAGTAGGGGAGTGTTGTGCGGATCATTTTGTGTGCAAATGGGGGTGTGTTCGCCTCACCAGCCCCCCCGCTTTTTTTCAAGGCCATACATGCTTGCAATAAGCCACAAGCATCATGTCATCACCGTGTTTGCATCAAGGGATGGTTGTGCAAATGGGCGGTTCTGCGCCCCCCCAACCCCCCCCCCCGCTTTGTTGAAGCCATCCATGCTTACAATAAAAAATCATGTTTTGCCATGTTTGAAATAGGGCAAGGTTGTGCGGATCCTTTTTGGGGTTGAAGCCAGCATTGCTTACGGTAAAAACCCTGTCATCGCTATGTGTGCCATAGGGCTAGAGAGGGTAAGGGATGATTATCCGGATCATATTGGGCGCTGCGCCATCCAAGTGCGCAAATGAAAGCCTTTATAAATGCTGCAACTCGCAGTTTCTACGTTCTTTGCAAAGCTCCGAACGGTGTAATTTGCAACACCGGCATGCTGTGAACTTTTTCAAGGTCTGCAAGCTTTAAAGAGTTGAAAAAACTGCGGTCATTAGCAGTATTTGCAAGTTCCCAGAAGCTTCAAGCGCCGTAGTTCTGTCTACAAGCTGTAGATGCGCTCCAGATGCTATAGTTTACAGTACTTGCTATCTGGAGATGAGCTCCCAATGCTGTGATTCAATATCTGCAGCCTCTGCGTGAGCCCAAATGCTGCAAATTGCATTGCCCGTATTGAAGCAATCCACGAGGATCAGAGGGTGCAAAAGCGGCGACAGTTATGAGGATGGCGAGCCCGACCCCCATAATCCTGGTAAGTGTCGATACGTCTCAAACTCCGAGGGTCCGAGCGAAGGTCCAAAACTAATGACAGTTGCGAGGATCGCGAGTGAGATCCCCGCAATTCCTGTGACTGTACACACTTTCCAAACCCCAAGAGGATGCGAGGGTCCAAAGTGAGGACAGTTACGAGGATCGCGACCCCAACACCCTCAATTGTCGTGATTGTTGACACTTGTCAAATTCCAAGAGGATCCGAGGGTCCAAAAGCGACGACGGTTGCGAGGATCGCGGCCCCGACCCACACAATCCCTGTGACTGTTGACACTTTTCAAAGTCCAACCTCACGTTTGTAGTTAAAATCGAGCCCAGGCGTGGAGCGTCCTCACATTTGCCCCTCACAGGATAAAAACAAAACAATTCTCCAAATAATTCCGGACCCAGCTGAAGTGGTAGTAGTGCAGTCGAGGCAGTGTGTACTCAGAGCGAGTTACAATTTTCGGTCCCGGGACTCCTGTTCTTTCCCGCTGTGGTTTCGGTCACGTGCCCACTGCGGGTTTTGTTACGGTCGCGTACGGTTTCAGTTACAGGCTCGGAAAAGTGGTTGCCGTTACTCCCAAATCGGTTCCTGGCACTCCCCCCACCCGGGATGGACTCCCCGGCACTTTCGCGTTCCTTCTGTCGTCTGATGATTACATGCTCCTCCAGGCATCTGAATAGCTTTTTTGAAGCGTTTCACGATGGCTTGCTTGTTGTGTTCCTCGCTACTTCTGCCGTCTTGACCAGTATGCGAAGGCAAGCAAAGCAAGAAAAACTCGCAAGGCACTACGCAACAGCAAAGCTCGCAACTAGAAAGTAACACACAGGCGCCCAAAAAACGAGAGAGGCGCAAGATACTGACCTCACAACGTGGTGCAAAGCAGTTTGGTTTCTATGTGTTCCAGGACCGTCTTGCGTTGCAGCTGTTTAGAGTTGTTTGAGTTTTGTTGTCAAAATTGACCCTCCTTGGAAGTACGTGATGCCACCCTGCGTGCGGCACTCCCATATGTCTTCTGAGTCTTCTGGGTGCTGGTAGTTGTCGTTCTGGTGGTGGTGCTGGCCATTGTTTCGCTTTGATGATCTTGGCAGTGCCTCGGAGTCGCCATGTCCATTGCGCTCTTTGGGCATTTACGCCCGTGCCGTTTCCCACCCCAGTAACAAACTCTTGTTGCTAATGTCTACGTGTTGCAACCTACAGAGGCCACACAGGCCCACGAAAATCTGATCCGAAAATTTGCGAGACGTGAGATGCATACCAAACGTAAGTAAGGATCCCGAGGTAGGAGCTTGCTGTGCGCATGCCCTATTTCGCAGCAGTCTGGCAGCGTCTTGCGTTGCTTCGTTCGGCTTCGGCCCGCTTGCAGCTCTGGAACGGGTTTGATGAGGTATGTGGGTATCTGGGATTCTCGTGTTCTTTTGTCGTACCATTTAATTAAGCTTGCGTATTTTAATTTGCTGATACGTTTGACAAACTTCCATTGGCAGCTGGACCCAGGAGAGAGACGAGTATATGGCCTATCAGATTCTATTAGGTTTGGAGCAGCGTCTTTCATGCCAGTACAAGATTCTGGGGAAAGGCGAGTCTCGGACTCTGACACACACATTGCAGCGTCGAGCCGCAGCGGACACGGCTCGAATTGGTGCTGCCCTGCGATGGGCCTTAGAGCCGTCGGAGCCAGACATGAAGCTGGAGCCCAGACATGGGGAGCTTGGCAAACTCTGCAAACTGGGCAAGTCCTGGGAAGATTTTTTTGCACGTCCCGCCTCACCGCCGGGCCCAGAAAATGTGGTCGTCATCTGTGGTCCTGCGCACGTGCAGGAGTTAGGGCATCGTCTGGAAGCTGCCCTTGGACGCTCTCAAGCTGCCAGAAGATTTCTTGCCAAAAATGCAGGACTCTTCCCTCGACTACTGATCAATTCAACTTGGAGTTGGGAACGGCTGTCGGCCGATGCCATGCTGGACGGTCTACAATCGCACGCCAGCAGCTTCGATTTGCACAGCGTTGGCGCTGCAAGCCCTCGCAGCCAAGGAGACGGCTTTGGACCACTGGCAAGCTTGGCAGCCATAGCAGCCTCGGCTTTAGAAGGCTCGAGTCCATTACAGACTCCAGGGACTTCAGCAGTTCATGCCGGACCTGCTTGCGTTCATGAGCGCTTGCGGTCGCTGTCACAGAGACCTCTTCCTGTGTGGCCTGTGTTCCTCGTGCTGTATGTTATAGCTCCAGTGATGGTGTTTCTTGTGATACCAATAATGATTGACATACGCTGGCTCCAGGCCCGCATTGCTGGGCCAGAGTTTCCAGATACCTTGCGTGAGGAAAAGCAAATGCCACTTAAATGCCAGCAATGGTGAAAGGGTGAAGGCAGGTGACGGAAACGTACTCAATAGGGATTGGCTGGGCATGGGTTTGCGGGTTCAGCTGAGGCTTGCGCAGGTAACACGGGCTCGGGCCAGACCGAACTCGTAACATTTCAACATGTTTCAATCCATCATGACATCATGACCCATTCATAATCCGCGCTCTTGATTAATAAGGCCGCCCAGGCCCCCCCCCTACATTAGTAGAAGGGCCTCATTATTTCAAGGGCGCCAGATGCCAGAAGGAGATTTCAATTGTAATAACGCCCACGGAACCCCGATCGGGGTCCACGTAAAGTCAATATGAATCCAATTAAAATCTATTGAAATCTTATTGAACTCCAAGAAGAATCAATACAAATCTAATGAAAATCAATTGAAATCTGATTCGGCTCCGATTAAAATCAATATACATTATTAATTAACATCCATCGAAATCTGATTGGACTCTAATTAAAATCAGTATAATAATTCCAATTAGAAATCCATTGAAATCTTCTTGAACTCCAATTAAGTTAACATCATTATAAGTCCAGTGGAATCCATTGAAATCTGATGCAGTTCCGATTAAAATCAGTATAAATCTAATAAATGTATGGAAATCTGATTGGACTCCAAGAAAAAATTTAGAATCAATATAGATTTAAATAAAAATCCGTTGAAATCTGAGTAAAAAGTTCAGGAATTTTTCTAATATTCTGGGGTGGTTTTCTATTAGTCCATGCAGCAGCACCTAAAGGGTAGCTCAGGAAGCAATGTTTGGTCGTGAAATTCCCAACAAAGTTCAGGAAGCAAGTCCTGTTTGCTGTACCCTCTCTGCTCTTTAGATTTTTCATTGCTATAAGTATTGCAGACTCAAATCTGATTGGACTCCAATTAAAATGAATATAGATCTATTTAAAATATCCGTTTAAATCTGATTGACAGTTTTCTATCAATCCATGCAGCAGCACCCGTAAAGGTAGCTCAGGAAGCAATGTTTGGCCGCGAAATTCCCAATAAAGTTTAGTAAGCAAATCCTGTTTGCGGGGCCCCCTCTGAAGTCTAGAGTTAGTAGGTCCCTACTACTACTACTACTACTACTAGTAGAACTACTACTAGAACTACTACTACTACTGCTACTACTACTACTACTAATATTACTACTACTACTACTACTACTCCTACTACTACTACTACTACTACTTCTCCTACTACTACTACTACTACTACTACCACTACTACTACTACTACTACTACTACTACTACTGCTACTACTA